GCGTCTCACGGGAGGCTGCCGGGACTGCAGGCGACCCACGTCGAGCGGAAGCACCTTCGGCTACTCAGAGACGGAACCTGCGAGTACTTCGTCTGCCCCAAGGACGACGGCATTCGCAAGCTGTTGATCTGTCGGGCCGGTCGGATAGTGCTCCTGGATCGCGCCTCCAACTCGACTCCCGTCTCCACGAGGGCCGGCGTGTGCGACGATGCGGTGCTGGACGGGGAACTAGTCGGCTCCTCGTTCCTCGTCTTCGACGCGTTCCTAGGGCTCTCCGGCCGGATCACGCACCTCCCACTGTCTGGACGCCTCGAGGAGGCCAGGCGGTGGGTGGATCGGCATGGTGGCGCGATCGACGACGTCGACGTCAAGGTAAAGAGCATGGTGCGATGGTCGGAGGGGCTCGAGGAGGAGATGAAAGCCGCCATGGCCGGAGGATGCACGGACGGAGTCGTCATGACCCCCGATGCGCCCATCCGCGGGAGAGACTCGCCACCGACGTTGAAGTGGAAGCCGAAAGAGGACATCACCGTCGACTTCCTCCTGAACCCGTCGTCCGAGTTGTGCGTGGTGGAGCGAGGCACCCTCGTACCAGTCGCGACGGCGAGGTTCCCACCCAGCATCCTGGCGAGCCGGCTCCGCACGATGGCCCGCAAGGGGAACGTCGTCGTGGAGTGCGAGATGGGATCGAACGGGGCTGATTGGAATTGTAGAAAGATCCGCACCGACAAGGACTCTCCCAACAGCATGTCGACTTACCGGAACTCGCTTCGTAACATCGCCGAGGACGTCCGGTTCGAGGAGTTGTTCGGGACTTTTACGGGGTCCTCCTCCCGGCCCGTATCGACTCGTTCCTCTGAATGAGCGGGATGAAGTGCGGGCGTTCCGCAGCCAGTCGGGCGAGCATGCGCTCTCGCCCCGATCGACGACCCCCGCCCTCTCCGTCGTCGCGTTCCGGCCTGTGTGGCTTCGCCGTGGGCTGAAGGTCCTCGTCGCCTCCGTCGTCAGCATCGGTCGCGGGCTTGGTAGCGCCCACGTCCTCCTCCGCCTCCCCCGAGTCGGCGTCGTCCTCGATCCAGATCTGCTTGTCCTCGTTCGCGCTCTCGGTGGTCTGTCGTTCTCGACGTTCCCCCATAGGCTTATTATGAGTGTAGCAGAAAAAACATAACGAGGGTACGAGACGAGGCTCCGCGAACCGTGCGACTTTACGCGGCTTGGCTGGCCTACACCTGGAGTCCGATCATGATAGGCGGATAGATTCCGTGCGCGGCAACAACGTTCAATACAACGCGACTCCTTGCGAGAAGCTCCAACCGTTACAGTCCCACAGTTGTACCGGACCGTTGTTGACACGAAGACCGTAGTTGATGTCTGCGCAGCGGCCATTAGGCCCGCCGGCCCGCAGCGAAGCACGTGCCGAGTCGTACGTCCACTTCTGTAACGGATCGGCGGGATCGCAAGTCTTCAAAATCAATTTCGATCCGTTGTTGTCAGCCCCCGGTGCGACGCACAACGCCTTATTTACGTTGGATGCCAATTGAGTCCCGTTTGAGCCCGCGGTCTTGTTCCCCAAGAACACCTGATTCGGATCGGTGGGAGAACACGGCCATTGTACTATAGCGTTTCCGGCCTCGTGTCGTCCGTTGAGAACGGTCAGGCATTGATTACCGCCCCCTATGTTGGCCCTGATCTGCTGGACCAACGTCGTGGGACTCGGCGTCGGACTCGGCATGACGACGGGGGTTCCGGAAGGGAGCGCGCTGGATATCGTGTATGTATTGGGTGTCGGCGGTGCCCGTATCATGTGTCCCAAGGCCAATCCGGCGTGAGGAAGTCGAACCAGCGTGCATGTTTTCAGCTCTGAATAGAATCGAACTAGCATGAGGAAGTCGAGCGAACGGTCCTTATTCTTCACCGCAACGACAAAGGTTCGCGCCCGGATCAACTGAGTACATGCCTTATGATTCTGTTGGTGTAAGCTCTGCTTATCTGTCGCAAAGGATCCGCGGTGTCGATCGCCCTGCGTGCGTTGTCGTACGTCGAGCCCATGTTCTCGGTGACGGCAATCCAATTCGAGAGTCCCGGAGTCGACTCGCTCGTCACCCGATCGACGAAATATTGCAGGAGCCGATGTGAGATGAATGCTATGGACGCGCGCGAGGTTGGAACCCGCTTGCCGATGGCGATCTTGCACGCCTCGACGAAATGCTTGCCACACATCATGCATCCTCGTTCGTGATCGCATGCATCATAGTCCACTTTCCAGTCCGTCTCCGAGAGCAACATGTGGAAAAGACTGGCGTTTAAGAAGCGCACGGTGTGCCCGCCTCCGTGGGACGGGTCCGAGCATATCGTCCCAAATCTATCGCAGACCACCGGACATGTCATGATCACTGCTAGAGTCTGCGAAAATCTGCCCTACATGTCCTTCCACTTCCTCTTCGGCGCCGCGTTCGACGCCAGCGGACGGAAATAGGATTCTATGCTATTGTTGCCATTCTTCTTCGTCCTGTGCTTCCTGATGATGTCGCCGAAGAGGATGTCCGCGGCCTTGCCGTGCGTCACGAACAGATCCAATATCGTCGACAGCGGCTTCACCAGGCAGTTCGTCAGGTAGTATTCGTAGTTCAGGACCAGCCCTCTCTCCTCCGCGTAGGTAGGGTCCTCCGCCATGTCCGTCGTCTTCGCCTTTGCGTCTCCCACGTCCAGGTACACGAACGGGACCCTGTCCCCGGGTCGAGGCTCCGAGCCCGGACGACGCCCCTTGAGCTTCTCGGCCACTATCACGTGGGGCTGGACGGACTTGTACTCCTTCTTCAGCTGCTTGCTGAGGATCAGCTTCCCGGCGCCGATCCTACCCGCCAACAGGTTCTCGGCCGTCTCGCGGCATGCCGTCACGGCCGCGTGCACGTCGCGCTCGTACAGGATGAGGTCCAGAATCGTCCCTTGCAGCTCTCGCGCGAGCGGGATCCTGTCGCGGCGCACGAGGTCCAGCCCCTTGGTGTCCACCTCGGGCTCCTCACCCTCTTTCTCGAACTTGAGCCCCCCGTAGCGCTTCTTGGACACGAGGATGAAGGGCGAGTACACCTTCTCGTACATCAGAGAGATGGGCCTCTCGAACAGACGATCCGTCGCCCCGGTGCCCATCGTCCTCCCCACGCCCATCGCCGCCTCCACCTTCCGCACGGCGTCTTCGGCCTCTGCCGGCAGCGACCCCGGCGGGATCTTCACCATCACGCTGTCCGTGTTGTGAACCACCAGCCGGCCGGCTCCGGCGGCAAAGTGGTGATTCTCCGTGGTCATGTCGTACACCCAGCCGTCGTACTCGACCTCAACGACGCGCTTCACCGCTTTCGCGTTCCCGCGCTGGGCCCTCTTGGTCAGTGTCAGCCGGAACACGTCGGGCTCGTCCGCGCGGGTGTCGAAACTCGTACTGTACCCTAGGCTCGATGCCAGCAGGGCGTAGGACGCGACCGAGACCTGATCCTTCTGCTCGATGCAGACGTACCCGTCAGCATCCTCGATCCCGACGGCGTCACTCAGACCGTGCCAGAACGCCCGCCGCACCTTGATAGATGCGTTCAATATGGCGGCGGGCACCACCTTGGCCGTATCCGCGTACGCCACGGCGCGAAACTTCCGCACAAGGCGCACGATCGAGCCGTACGAGCCGCGAGGAACCAGCTTGTATGTTCCGGAGCTGCCGGTGATGTTCACGATGACCCACTCGCACTCCGGGTACACGCACTCACACAGATCGCGGTAGTACTCGATCTTGGGGATGCCCGCGTGTTTGATGGCCCAGCTAGTCTTCTTTCCGCTGAAGACGCACGACCCATCGCCACAGAACATGCCCATCACGCGCGCCTCGGAGCGGGAGAGGCTCCGTTCGGCATCGACGAGAACGGGGTATCGAGCGTGGAGCAATTCGAACCCTCCGGTCACGTCCCGTGCAGACACGGCCTGGCCGTGGGCATCGAGCAGGCTGTGGTCGTCCGTCGCGTCGACCATGCCGTTGTGTGTGAGTACCCGCAGGATGCGCTTCTCGGGGGCGAGGAGGTGCCGGATGACGCGGCGAGCAGGCGTCCAACCCGCCTCCGTCCACACGTCCACTCCGGGGAGCTCGCAACTCTGTTTGTCCTCGCGCCCGTCGTCCAGGCAAGCCAGCCACTTCCCCCCACCCCAGCGGTCGGCGAGCCGCTCGAAAGTCTCGACGTGGACGCGCCCAGCAACGCGCACGATCGTCGGCGTCGGCCCGGTCACGCTGTCGCCGTAGATCACCTCCGCGCCGGGGAACTCCGCCTCCACGTACTGCTTCGTGGCGGCGATCATGTTCCGGCCGATCATCGTCACCGTCGCGGCGATGGGTTTGGCGGGGAGAAGACCTTTAGACGATCCGCATGATCCATAAGTCGAATTTGCGGTACTGCAGAATGAGAGGACCCCTTAGAGGTTCTGGTTATCCGCAAATTCCGGTAACATTGTACGCTCTTGAGAAAGCAGATATCAGAAGAGATGGCGAATGTCGAAAATGATACTAGATATCTTGGGCGATTCAGTACTGCAACATGAGAAAAGAACCTTATAGTTTACACAACCCGTGAATCCCGGAAGAGTCGCAGGCATAAGAAAGCACGGGGTTGGAAAGAGAGGACATACTCGGATCATGGAGGATCCCATGTCCTACGAGATATACCGGTTGATCTCGCCGGCGAATCGTTCCTATGTTGGTCAGGCTAAGGTCCATGTCAAAAGGCAGAAGTGGAAGGGGGCAGCACGTAGATGGCGAGAACACCAATGGCTAGCAATCAGAGGAAAAACAGGACCCCTGTACGACGCCATCCGCGAGTACGGACCCGAAGACTTCAAGCTCGAGGTCCTTCTATATTGCCATCAGCGAGAGGCGGACATGTACGAAACGACGATGATCGAGGCCTACGACTCTCTGGTTACGGGTAACGGCTACAATCAAGCGCAAGGTGGCCAAGGCTTCACCGAAGAGACGTTTCGTCTGAAGGCTCTTCCCAAATCGCCGTGGAAGAACAAAGGGGAGAGGAAGCGTCCAGAAGACGGCGAGCTCCCCAAGAACATCCATTTTCACAAGACCATCTGGGGCGAAGGCTATCACGTCACTGGAAGACGAGATGGCAAGACCTTTCAGAGATACTACATGAGCATCCACGAGACTATGGAATCGAAGCTGCAGAAGGCGAAGGCGTGGCAGGAGTACTTTGAGCGGGAAGGAGTTCCGCCCGAAGAGGAGCCCGCCGAGCCTCCTACCATTCCGGCGAAGAGGAAACGTGCGGAAGACGCGGACCTCCCGAGAGGCATTGCGAGCGTTCACACCAACAGGAAGAAAGGGCTAGAGGAGGGCTACGTCGCAACTTTCTTCCACAAGGGCAAGAGCTTTTCGAGGCAGTTCGTCTCGGGGAGGCTAACCATGGAGGACAAGCTGGCTCTAGCGAAAGAGTGGCTCGAAAAGCGCAGCGCAGAAGTACGGGCAGAAAGCTAAAAACACATACGCTCACATTTTCATGGCCAGCTGCATGGAATTCCACCTCTTCTTCTGGAACGGCTCCGTCGCCTGCTTCATCTTCTGTTTCGCGAGCTTTCTCAGCTCGCCCAGCTCCTCGAGCAGGGCCGGGATGACGCCCCTCCGGTTCTTCACGAACGTCGTCTTCGTCACCTTGCCGTCCTCGTCCACCCTCTCGAAGTTCGCATACTCGTAGCCCGGTAGATCCGCGAACCGGGAGTCGGTGACCCACGTCGTCAGGCACAGGTTGTGCGCCTGCATGATGCTCGGGTAGAGAGATGCGAAATCGCACACCACCACCGGATCCATGTACACCCCCGCCTTCGCGTCCAGGACCGTCGCTCCCTGGTACGTCTCCTCCGGAGGCGCCTCGTCGGCATCGTACGTCCTGATCAGATACTTCCCCAGGATGCGGCGCAGGATGCACGAGAAGATCTTGATCTGCTGGCCTCTCTTGAGCAGGTAGTCCACCGGCACGTACGTGGCGCGCGCCATCTCGACGTGGTCGATCAGGATGTTGAGCTTGTCGGCCAGCTTGATGGGCAGCATCGTGTCCTGCACGCAGTACTTGGCGATCTCGCGGATCCCTTCCGGCGTGCCCTCCTCGAAGAGGTCGAACATGTGGTTGTACTTCATGTCGTCCTTGTGCTCTCCCAAGTACAGCGTCGAAACGTTCTCCAGACTGTAGCTCTCGAGCTTGTGCGCGCGCTTGATGGCCTGCATGACGTCGATGTTGAGGATGCCCGGGGTGGTGACCAGGAAGAACTGGTTGAAGCCAAAGGCCGACGACTCCATGATCTTCTCCTGGTACTCGCTGACGACGCCCGCGAGCCGGCCCACGGAGAAGGGTACGCCGAGACGCTGGGCCAGCTCGAAGAGGTAGCGCCAGTCGAACTGATCCGTGTTGTAGCCGTAGATCACGTCGGGCTGCTCCTTCGCCAGCAGCCTCAGCCACGCCGCTATCACCTCCTTCTCGTCGCCGTAGCTCTCCACGACCGCGCCCTCCAGAGGCAGCGAGTCCTTTAGGGTGACGGCGTGCTTCAGGTAGACCTCGCCGCGCCGCTTGAACGAGGTGCCGATGGTGATGCACTTGGAGGACGGCTTGGAGCCCATCGGAAAATCGCGGTTCTCGTCCCACGCCTCTATGTCGTACGAGCACTCCACCAGGTCCGGCTCGCCGCTCGTATCGTCGTCGACCGCCAGAGCGGCCGCATCGAACGTGTACTCCAGGTCGCACGTGCTCATCCTGTCGGAGGTCGTCACCAACGCCACGCCGGGCGCCGCCAGGTCCAGGGTGTGCCAGCCGACCGAGCGCAGGGAGTACTCGTGCAAGAACTCCATCATCGCGCTCACGTTCCCCTGGTACAGTTCGTAGCGTTTGGGTTCCCTGTCAATGAGCCACACGTTCAACCCTTTCTTCCGCACCGCGTATCCGCACTGCCTCGCTGCTTTCTCGGACGTGGTACGGATACGGAGGAAGTCGAACACGCGATCCCCATGGAAACCGTTGAACTTCTTCCGCCTGACCTTCTCGACCGACACCATGCACCCGTATGCCCTGCGGTACACGGACAGGTAGATGCGCTCCGCCACCTCGTGACCGTACGCCACCATGTCGTCGGGAGGGAGCAGGTAGATGCTCGGCTCGAACCTGGTCCGGATGCAGATGCTCTCCCCGGCGGCCGTCCTGCCGAAGATGAGGACGACGCACTGCTTGGCCGTCCGCTCGCACAGCGAGTCCTCGTCGTCCTCGTCGTCGCTCTCCTTCCCGTCCTTCTTTCCATACGACTTGACGGCGTCGATGTAGCACCGGTACTCGTCGTGGTTCTTGCCGGCGGACGTGGGGTCCAAGGGCGTGTCCCGCGTCTCGGCGCTCACCACGAAGAGGCTCAGCGCGGAAGCCATTTTCGGAGAATGACGAACCCAAGGACGGATTGCCATCTTAAATAACGCACTCTCTGGCGAAGAGTCCCGTCTCAGTACAAGTCCTGGTACAGGTTGACGGCGAACGTCTTGCCCTCGCCAAAGGCCGGCACCTGCACGGTGTCCCCGTCGTAGAGGGTCTCGCACCCGATCCGGTCCGTCATGCAATTCCTACCCTTGTGGAAGACCGGCACGATCAAGGGGTTGAAGCCGTCCGTCCGTGCGCTGTAGAAGAAACGGTCCCGGTTCGCCCAGCTCTTATCGGCGAACAAGGGGAGGACGCGGTTCTCCGAACTGCCGCCTTCCTTGAGCGTGGTGAGGGTGCCGACCTGCCGCTCGCAACGGGCCGGTGGGTCGCAGAACACGGGGCTTCTCACCTCGGGGGGGCTCTCGTTCGGAACGACGACGACGACGTCAGGCGCGCGCATATCATCGACGGGAATCCTGCATAGGAGCCCGAGGAGAAAGCAGCATCCGCCTGTGATGCAAAACAGCAAGAGACCCGCCAGACGCATCGTTCGTTGATCTTAGGCGGAGAAGATTTGTTTGTAAGCACGTTTTGCAGCGGAGCGTTACAAGTTCAGAGTGAAGAGGGCTACCTATCCTAACTTTCGAACTGACTTTCGAGCAGCTCGAGATTAGAGTAGATTACCTGCCCATCCTGACGTTGTACAGGAGTTCTGCGGGAAATTGCAAAAAAGGGTACCCTAGATCCTTCGTCTTGCTCAGCAAGCTGAGGACCATTTGATCTTCACGCCCTTCGATGAATCCAGGCGACTCTTTCCCGAAGACGCTCGGTTCGTCGTTCATGAGACGTATGTCCGCACATCTATCGTGCCATTCTCGTATGAAACGTACGGTCTCGGCAGTCTTACGCACCATTACGAATCCAGCCCAGCACTGCGTCGTTTCCCCATGCACGGAGGGGTCGGCATTCAACAGATGGAATGCATCGTATTTAGCCCAGTTCTTTTCTGAGAAGCTCGGCTCGGATGGTTTGTTCTCGAACAACACCAGGTCGCGGCTCTTCAACCATTTCACTGCGGTCTCTCTGATGTCCTTCTTGAAAATGTATAAGGAATCGCAGTATGTCACTATATCACCTTCGGATAGCTCCGCTAACCGTTTGAGCATGCAATAGCTCTTCCAGCACCACGCTCCGAAACCACGAGGGAGCGCCAGCACCTCTTTATGAGAAGCTAGGAACGTGGGATCGAGGTGCGTCTCGTCGTAGACGGTCGCGGTGTCGAATCCGGCTGCGAGTGCGCTCTGAGCTAGCTGACGTGCATACTGATTGTAGAGTCCGAGAGTACCAAAGGTGATGAAGTGCATCCTCTGTCTTCGCTTCGTACTCGAAAAGAAAAGCGCACGACCGGACGGGATCCTAGATACGCTTCTTATGCTTCTTGGTCTTGGCATCCATGATAGCCGAGAGCTTGGCCTGGACCTTTGCGTCCAATGCTTTCAACTGGGATTCCGTCTTCTCGAACAATCTCTCGCAGGCATTTCGCTCGGCTACGGCGGCCGCGAGTTCCTTGTACATGGGGAGTTTCCCTATGCACTTGAGGCCCTTGTATCGTACGTCTGTGCTGCCCGTGGGCGCTGGCTGGACGGACAGGCGAGCATCCGTCATGAGCGCTTTCAGGAATGCCTCCGACTTGGCGTCGCTCTTCAGACGTGGGGCCATACTCTTTCCATGAGTTACATGCACGAAACTATATGGTTTCGCGTGGCCCTTGGTCAGGGCCGACCGATTCGGACGACGCTTGACATGATCTGGCACGCGACTCGGATTCCTGAACTCTCCTGAACCGTCCGAAGAGGGTCCGGCGGACCTGACTCACGACATGCCGGTCGTCAGGCACGCGTTCCGGGACCATTTCTTTCTCAAGATTACCGCAGCTCGGGTCCATGACATCGCAGGGCAGTGGCGTGAAGGACGTCGGCTCTCTCCGCTTCCTCGACGAGGACGGCATCGCTCTCTCGGACAAACAGAACGTCCACAAGATCGACCCCCGGTCGCTGGACTTGCAGATGCTGTCCCTCGCCAGGGAGGAGTACATACAGATCTTGAACGGGATACTCGGCGAGGGCGTCGTGAGCGGACTGGTCGCCCAGTACGAGACGGCGATCGGCAACGCACCACCCAAGGCCAAGGTGCGCACCTACCAGAGGGTCCTCAAGGACGTGAAACTCTGGAACGCGCACGTCATAGCGGCGGAGTCGCAGCGCATCCTAGGCGAATCCAAGACCATGCTCCAGCAGATCTTGGCCGCCATCTACGTCTCCAACGTGAAGATCATGGCATCTATCCGCGTCTCCGGGGGAGTCTCGTACGTATCGATCGTCATCCCCTCATGCGACTCCTTCTTGCACCGCGTGTACATCGAGTGCGCGCGCATCATCTACCACAACCCCCTCATCATGCACATCGACAGCAAACGGGCTACCGACGTCTTCCAACGCTCGGACTTGCTCACCAGAATCGTCCACACCGCCATCAAGAAGGCGCTCCGGGCGATGCTGCCCATCAAGGAGCTCCTCGAGGAGTACCTGAGTCTCGACAACTACAAGGACGGCATGCGCCTAGACGAGCAGCCTCCTGTTCCCTCTCCTGCGCCCCCGCCTCCTCCTCCGCCACCTCCGCCACCTCCGCCTCCTCCGCCTCCTCCGCCCCCTCCCCCTTCCCCGCCGCTCGCGCCCCCTCGACCGTACCCAGAGCTGCCCAGGGCGAGCTTCTCTCCGCAGCCCGTGCTCCAGACCGCAAGTGGCGCGACCTACGAGGCTTCCATTCCTATGGAGGTGAAGAGCGTCGACGTGGTGCCCGTCGAGATCGGTACGAGACGATTGCCCTTCAAGATGCGCCCCGAAGATAA